AAACCCTGTTGAACAAAAGATGCCAGACGTTTTAGAACATATAATGCATGCTTTTATTTGTATGAAGTTCTAGACTAGGTGCAACAGATCAAAAATGATGTATGATATACCAAGAGTTGTTTGGCATAGGGAATGTCTCAAATACTCCAACAACTGAAAGGTGGGCCCGCGGCTACCTACTCTTTTAAACTGAAGTAGGACTGAAATCGTGGTATAGGAATGAAAAAGTGTAAGCCTGGGTATTGCCCTCTCCTTCCAGTGTGTGTGTGGTCAGTACTCGGGCCCTTTCAAAGTGGTAAGAATAGTAGTGTCAATAAGAACCAAAGCGTCTACTGCATGTAATGCCTACCAGGGAGTGTTGTGCCTCTGCACGCATTTTCTTCTATGCCACTTTCTCCTAGTCTAAGACCCTCATGGTTCGTTAATTATTATCCTTATTTTATAGATGGAGAAAACCGAAGTACAAAGAAGCTAAGTCATTTATTCTCAGCCTCTCAGCTATTAATTGGCAAGACTGGGTAATGTCCTTGATTTCTGGGCTCTCAGCCGTGGGCTGACTCAGTGACACGAACATGTCTGTTCGTATGGCGCCACGTGAAAAAGATGAGTTAGTAAGTTGGACAAAACACGCGCTCTTCCTTACTCAGCAATGCAACTGGTGAATTTTGGAGAAAAACCCATCAGGTAGGTTTCATACATGGCTATTTAAACTTTAAGAAAAGAATCCCCTCCCTCCAAACGTGACAGAGCAACAAAGTGAACATTGGCTTCACAGAGGCCAGGGAACTGAGAGGGTATGCACCGTCCAGATTATTGGATTCATACAGCTGTAAGCCCCTTGCTTAACTGGGCTTGTGCAAATGGGATCAGTTCCTTGATCTGCCTGAAAGGGAATTTTTCAGCTGTCACTCGGAGCCAAGTACGTCTTTTCTACTCGTCTGCCCTGAAAGATATTTATAATTTGTTTGTGATTTATTGAAACTTGCCTGGCTTGAGAGGAGCAGTGTCTTGGAAGCTTCAGCCCTCTCAACTCTCCCCAGCTTGCTCTGCTCTCTTTGTGAAACTGCCTTCCTGCGAGGCGACCGTGCGGGCCCATGTTCTCCTCTGAAGTTTTGAAAAGCAGCACGTGATGCCATGCACAATTTATTCCATCATTTTCTTTATTAAGACGCTTAGAGGTTACAACAGGTGGTGAGGGTGTACAGAGAAAGGCAGGACTCTCCGGGCATGTGTGCTCCGGCTGGATAATTTTGCTGGCAACAGTGGCCAAAGCCAGGGTTCTAGAAATTTAGTCTCAAAAGTTAATGACGTTGAAAGGTATTTTAAACCCAAACTGAAGTCTTTTAAAAAATGTAATTACACCCGCATGAAAAAAAAAAAAGATTATCCAAGCAACTCTCATGTGCCGAGAGTCTTTCTAAATATATGTGAGCAGTTCTAATTTGAAGTATGTGCAGATTTCTTACTTCTATGCATTACACACACTATCAATCAGCTGCTTGAGGCTTGGGGGAATAGATCATACCTTCTTAAATTATAAAGTAACTTGTTCATCCAGCCCATTTCTTCCGTTTTGTTGCTTTTGCCCCCAGTCACTTTCCTTTTCATTTTATCTTTCTGCTATGCCTGTGGGTCAGAGGTCTTATTTGTTCCTCATACTCGATGATCTGAATATTGGAGTCAGCAATTCCAGCAGTTATACGCGTTCTGGGTGAGTATCTTAGCTCTATCAATAGGAACAAGGAGGAGAGTGATTGTTATTGCCTCATTCCATGAGGCATCAAAAAAACAGAACACATTTATTTTGCACAAATCCTTGGGATGTAGGAATTTTTGAGTTTTTCTTAGGCAATACACCAACGTGTAGACAACACATAAATCCTTGGGGTGTAGTAATTCAGTATTGCATGACTTCTTAGCCTTTTAGGCCTTGGGGTGGTTCCAGGGCAACTTCTGATGCTGTCTGTACAGATATAGACTGTTTCCTTGTGATTTTGATTTTTGCTATTTTGTCATCAGAACATATAACTACAAACTTAGCAAGCTAAAACAAAACAAAACAGTAATTACAGTTCTGGTGGTCAGAGTGCCTCAGTTCCAGGTGTTGGCTGGGCTGCTTTCCTTTGGATGTTGTAGAGGAGAACCCACTTTACTCCTTCTGGCTTCTAAAATAGAGGCGCTAGCCCTCTTCCATCTTCAAAGACAGTATTTGCACCCAGAACCCCTGTTCCTGTTGACACATCTCTTCTCCCTCTGAAATTCTGCTTCTGTTTTATGAGGACCCTTATGTTTCATAGAAAATATTTCCATCTTAAGATTCTTAACTTCATCTACAAATGTTTGGCCACTTACAGACTTTGGAGCTTGGGGCATGCACCTATCCCCCCCCCCCCGTGTGTGTGTGTGTGTGTGTGTGTGTGTGTGTTGTATACATGTGCATAGTATGCTTCTTTGCATCATAGTCCTGACCATCGTCTAGCTGTTTGGTACTGATATGAGTCATAGGCAAATTGGTGTCAGCAGAACCATAGAATTTTTAGAGCTATTTTAACCTTTTCTTGTATCTTTCTCCATGCAGAAGTCCAAGCAACAATGCTCTGTCAACTTTATAGAACAACATGGCTCAGAGCACACAGCCTTGTTGATCCATGCATTCTTTGAGCTTGATGCAGAGAACCTTCTGGGTCTTGAAATCTTAGTGCTAATGGCTGGCACGTTTCTGAGATATCATGCCCACCAGAGACATAAAGCAAACCTAATCCTCTGGATAAAGGCCTCAAATCCACAGAATTCCAACTCCACCTCTCCAGTGAGATCCGGTCATGCTAAGAGCTTAGGAGAGATGCTGAAGGACCCTCTCACGGCCAACTTCCACAGAACACGACGTCATCCATAAGAACTGTGTGCCCTACTGTTGGCATCAGAATGGAAAATGGAAAATTGGCATCGGAGTGGGAAACTGTGCCTGTCTGAACTGAAAGACCTTTATTCTCTTTGCATATTTCTAGCAACTGGTCTGCAGAGGCACAGCATGAGCAATGCATTTGGTAAGATGGCAGGTACAAGGCGGGGACGTCTGAGACATTAAGGTTTACAGTCTAAGGATGATGGAGGCATTGAAGGAATTTAGGGAAGCATGGGGAGGAGAGAGGGAAGTCAGGGCAGCTCCTACTGAGGAGGAAAATGGGGAATGAGCAGAGCTTCAAGGAATAACATAGGTTAAGTTGTAATTGTTAGTGATCTATGAATGTCAAATGGTTGGCTATGTGATTCTGAGGCTCAGGAGGTTTGGGTTCGGTATATACATTTATTGCTCAGTAGCTAAAATATGATAAATAGGAATTCTACTGGGGAGAGTATACTTAGGAGGAAAGATAGCATAATACGGGACTCAAGGGGTGAGCAAACATTGAGAGGCCTGGCCAAAATAGGTTTGCTAAACACTGGCAGCAGCAGCAACATCCACCAAACAAACAAACTAAGCAATGGAGGTTAAGTGGAGTATGGAAAGAATTGGCATATTCAGAATTTGGGCTGGAGGTATAACTCAGTGGTGAACAGACTTAGTCTGAATCCGTCCCCAACACACACACACACACACAAACACACACACACACACACACACACACACTACTGAGTTCATTTAGTGTTTCTCAGATGCATATGTATTTGGAGATGACCACTTGGGGTTGGTCTCTGGAAAAAAAAAAAAAACGATATTTTTCTCCAGCAGTCATTGATGATTGCTGGTACCTTGTGCGACCTCCCCCATCCAGGTTGGCATTAGGTCTTAGGTGTGGTTCAGGTCTTAGGCAACCACTTGTTGAGACTTCATAGTTGCAGCATCCCTGTCCTGTCTAGAGCAGACTTTCAGCTGCTGCCCTGTCTTTATCCCGGCTCTCCCTTGGCGCTTTCAGTTTGCACACGCGAGAAGGCGCCCCTCGGTGCAGTATTTCGTTCATTGATTACAGTAGTGAGCAACTTGTTGAGGTTAGCGCGGTTAAATTAAGGAGGATAGGAAAAACACACAGAGTTTAAGATGAGAAGGTAATAAGAAAGGTCTTTCGGAGGTTAGAGTTCAGGGTTATTTTGTTCTCCCAAGTCAATTGATGCAAAATGCTACTTGTTATCAATTTAGAGGGAAAATAATTCCATTAAAGACTTTGTAATTTGATCCAGAGGGAAGAGCAAACAGAGTCAAGGAAGAGGAAAAATTGACTTCATTCTTTGCTCTTTCTTAAATCCTGAGAAACGTGTGTGCCTCAAGCACTCCCCCTTTCAATTCCACAAACCAGGGAATCAGGAAAACACATTAGCACCCTAGTATAGAGTAGGAACCCAGAGCTGGGGGGAAACAGCATCAAGACAAGAGGAAACGGGGGAGGGGCGAGAAAGCTTCCCCTGTCGCTTGGAGAATCTGCTGCAAGGCGTGGGAAGGAAGGGAAGTGGGGAAGGTACCCGGCAGACGTCAGCCAGACACTTTGCCTCTGGGCATATGGGAAAAAAACCGAAGGAGGAGGGAAAACATCGCACTACGGTTAGATGGAGGAGCACCCGCGGCTGCTTTTGAGTGAGGAGCTGGAGAGCTGGAGCGTTCTGCTCCCGTTCTCCCCTCCAGGAGGCCATTCCTCCATTTTTTAACCCAAATAAAGAGGGGGCGCTGGGCTAAGCCGGTATAAGTCGCTCTGCGCAGCAGACCTCAATTCGGCCCCTGGCTAAGGCCGGAGAGGTGGCCTTAGGGGACGCTGAAGTTACACGGTGGCGGGAGGGGAAGGGTCTTCAAGCTCCTCTCCAATCACGGTGGCTGCTGAAGCTATTTGCATATATTATGCTAATAGGGACCTCCCGCTCCGCTCCCACCCGCGCTCCCGCCCTCTCGTGGGTCCAGGCGGGCTGGGCGAAGGTGAATATATTATGCTAATAAGGAGGCTCCTGCGGGAGGGGGCGGGCTGTGCTTGAGGCGCGCGCGCACTGTCTCACACACACGAGCATCCCGGGGTATTTAAGGCTCGCACACGCGAGGCTGCGGAGCTACTTCTGGGGCCTCGCGGCTCGCGATTGCTGCTTGGGTCGTTCGGGTCTTCTCTTTCCACTATCCCTCTGCCACCGCTCGGGGACCGCGCTCCCGCCGCGTCCCTCTGCATCTCTTCTTCTTTTCGGCCTTGAACTGATCCAGGTGGAAGACAGGTCGGCCCGTGGAAAGCCCCGGAATAGGTAGAGATAGGCAGGCAGACGCAACAGGTCGGAGCAGGGAGAGGGTCCCGCGGACCCTGCGCCTCTGCGCGGGGGACCACTGAGGAGGTGTCGGATCTTGAGGGGTTAGAAGAGCTTCCCTGGTGGGTTTGATTTTAGCTGTGACCCCCGGCACCACACAACCCCCAGCCGGAGGGTCTTCTTCACTCTCAGCTGGAAGGGGAGAAAGAATCAGCAGAATGGTCCACGCCTGCTGATCCGGACTCCGAGCCAATCTCAGGTCCACCTCCGACCCTGGGCTCCGACTCCACCAACTAGTTGTGCAGCCGCGGGGACTGAACTTTGGGGGAATCGGCCCTTCCTCTCCTTCTAAGATTATTGGAGGAGCTAGAGGGTGGAAGGCGTAGCGGAGACTGACGACCCCGCCACGATGTTGGTGAAGAAGCTGACAGGAAAAGGAGGGGAACGAGAGCCTGGATCTGAAGATCCGCGCCCCTTGGGACAGCGTTGTGCTGGCACCATGGCCTCGTGCACGGTCCTGGCGACCCTCTTGTCAGTGGTTGCGGTGGTGTTTTGCTTGTATCTTGGGGTGAAAACCAACGACCTCCAGGCGAGGATTGCCGCTCTTGAATCTGCCAAAGGAACCCCTTCCTTTCGTCCACTGACTGACACCATGGATCAGCTGAAGGCTATGGTTCAGGAGAAAGTGGAGCGTCTCTTGGCTCAGGTGTGAAAGGTTGGGGGGTATTTTGCACGTGGATACTGTTTGGCACAGGTGTGAGTCCTATCTGCAGGGCTAACTTCAACCCTTACTGGCTGCATAGTTGGTTTGACTGTGGGTACCGAGTATGGAGTGTCTAAAGAAGCTTCAATATTGACCGATACCGAGTCTGTAGCCGAACCCTTCCCTCACTCTTCCGCAGTTCTTGCATGCTAAACATGTATGGAGGTCTAAAAGAGGGAAGGGTGGCCTGGGTAGTGGGAGTGCGGGGTCAAGCATTTCATTTCTTTTAGTTTTTCTGGAGTTTCTTGTCTCTCAGTTCTACAGAGAATATTCGTTAGAGACATAAGATCTATCTTCTTCCCAGGTAAAGGTTAGAAAGTGCTATTAATATACAAACAATAATCACTTTCAAGTGAAGCAAGTCTATACAGATTCAAAGCCATAAATTTCACCCTTTGAAACTTTTCATGTTCGAATACTTAAAAAGTTTTCTATTTGGCAAAGGATGCTGTGCAGGTATTGAAGAATGCAGAGTCATTAACGCTGAGAGTTGAAAGGAAGCACATTGTCTTCAAGGCTCGTTTCAACTCATGTTAGGGGCTTTTTTGAGGAATTTACTTCCAATAGAGAGGCTGTTTGGCAGTTGCCATTCACAAGTGCGCTATTGGCCCACCTTATCTTCAGACCTGAGGTGTTCCACTGCAGGCTTTTGCACTGACTGCCTATGTTTGGGTTGGAGACTCGAGAAAGATATTAGCCAAACTCTGCAATCCTGCTACCACGTCAGTGGTCACTGTCTTATTTTAGGACTTGGATTCGGTTACTTTTTGATTAGAGTCCAAGTACGTATGTAAATATTCCTTACGCAAGCTATCGAATGCTGGGAAATCAGGCATGTAGCCAGAGAGTCCCTAAGAGTCCAGTTCTCATCAGTGCTACTGATGATTGTGCTAATACCTCTGCTTTTCCCACAGAAATCCTATGAACACATGGCTAAAATAAGGATCGCCAGAGAGGCACCTTCAGAGTGCAACTGCCCGGCAGGTAAAACAGACCTCGTTTAACAGTGTTTCCTCCACAGCAGAACAAGCACACATGTGTGTGCGTGCGTGCGCGCGCACACACACATACTCTCATGGTCTTGTGCTGTCAAGTCTACCTGTAATAATAGTAAAGAAAGAATGCAGGCCCAACCTGCTTTAATAAAACCAACATGTCTCAGTTCAAAAGAGGGCCAACCCCTCCCCACTATTATTTTGTACGGGATACTAAGGTCTGCTATTGTAAAACAAGGAAGCTAGATATGACTACCATGGATAATATAGGTAAGATGATATACAGAGTTCTTCGAGTCACAGATTGGAAGTCTTCCATGATCTTATTAAACAATGTCAATTTTTTGTGTGTGTGCATATGTGTGTGAAAATGACTGTTGAACTCTAAGATTTTGATTTCCCTGGTGTCTAATGCTACATCATGGTAGATTTGTTGCCTGCCTTTGATATATAGCTATACATGCAAATCACCCATCCTTCCTCACGGCTTGTATTCTGTCCTCTCAAAGAGGCTCTCTGTGGTGCCCCACAGCAGAAGACAATACTAAGAATATTCTTTATCTTGGACTCCCATTACAAACGATTGTGCTCTCAATGGCCTTTCAGGATGGGTCCTTATGTTTTTACTGTATCTGTGTGCAGTTTTAGGGAGCTATGTTAATTGCGGTACCTAAGAGGATGAGGAAGAGAGATATCACCCCATCTAGCCAGGGTAATTGTAATTGCTTTCACAGATCTCTGGGACTCAGTATTTATCTGTAGATTTAGCAGTCTAAAAGATCTTGGATGATAGTCATCAAACCCGAGTGTTAATGTTTTCTCAGATAAACACTGTATTCATTTATGAACATTTAGTTTCTTTTATCAGGCATTTAAGTGACTTTACATTTTGTATAATGTTCAAGAATATGATACTTAGTTATTTATGTAGATAGTTGTTGCCTAGTTGCATTTGGTCAATGAGAGATCACACGGTGTAGGATAGAGAGGTCTTATAAGATTGCATCATGTATTGGGATTAGTCATCCCAGTTTATGAAGTGCAGTGTATGGAATTGTCTAACACAGTTCTCCCTGTTAAGAGGTACATGACTGTATATGGAAAGGCTAGTTCCTGTATCTCCTTAATATCCCGAATTAGTTTTTGACATGGTCAATACAGTTGCCATCTTTTGCACATCAGTTTAAAATATGAACACCGGGTTGTATAACATATACATTTAAAAAAACTTTTTTACAAATTACATTGTGTGTGTGTGTGCACATGTGTGCATATGTGCGCATGTGTGTCCTCATGTGTATGGAAGTCAGAGGAAAGCTTGCAGGAGTTAGCTTTGTAATTCCACCAAGTGGATCTCAGGGCTTAAAGCCAGGCTGTCAGGCTTGGTGACAAGTGCCTTTACCCCCTGAGCCACCTCACTGGTCCTATGGCACAACAATTATATATCCAATTACACTGTTCACCATACTGGGACTATATTTTTTCAAATAAAAGCTTTCGATTAGGAAAACACTGCTGGAATGATGGTGAAGACCTCTGTTCCAGCTCTGCAGAAGGGTGAGGCAGGAGGATTGCAAGTTCAGTGCCTGCCTGGGCTAGCTATAACTTTAAGACAGTCTTAAAATCAAAAGGTTAAAAAAAAGTCTGGACATCTTGATATAGCTAAGTTTTAGAACACTAGCCTAGCATTTGTGAGACCCTAGGCCTACCCCCCCAGTACACAGGGAAAATAATATATATTATATATAGTAATAATAAATATATATAATATGTGAATATTTGTAATTTTATATTATATGTGAAAATATATATAAATATTTGAAAATTGGAGTTACCTCTTATGTTAGAAGAAGACTGAGAAGGAGCTAGCATTTGAACATGTAGCTTTTGTTCTTAGTTGTTTTGAGTTGGTGCAGACCCAGAAGTCAGATATTTAAGGAAGTCACATTTCCAGCAGAGGATTAAACACAACCACCTCATCACTGCTTGGGATTATTTAAACTCTAAGACACCTGGTACTGAGAGTCACTGAGCACAGCCCTTCGAGTCCAGGCCTTTTGGTACGCAATGCTTTTGTTAGCTCTGTTTAAAGCAGTTAGTGTTTAATTCACTGAATTCTTAGTGAGTTTGGGACAGTGCTGAAAAGTGATGTCTACAGCCCGACGTTCTATTTTCCGGGAAGACGTCACTGCTCGTGATGTCTAATGCAACCTAATTATCATTGGATCTGGGAGAAAGCTACCACATTTAGAGTTGGACTTAAGTTATCTTGGAAGATTACACTGGAGCGTTTTTCATCATAACACGAAAATTTAAATGGGATTTCCTAGGCTTCCCCTCCTCCCCCCACGGCCTGGGTTGGCTCTCCGTTACAGCTGCTTTACCTCCTCGTCGCCACTAGAGCCCCGCATCACATCAGTTTTTACCTGGCTTCTGGAGCAGCAACACGTGGAAGGTGTGTGTACCTTCTAGTGCTCAGAACCAGACCCTCACTGTTCTGGAAGCACGCCCTTCTGCTTGGATGATCATCAGGCCTTCTAAAAATAAAGACGCTACATCCTGGAGAGAGCGATTGTGAAGTCTGGTCAGTGAGATATGTCTTAAATGAGCAGCCCAGCCAAGGACTAGAAGGGGACACAGCTCTTCCCGCCTGGGGTGGCTCTAGCTGCGGTTCACAGTGACCGAGAGTCGTCACAGAGACAGCGGTCAGCAGGACAGGGCTAGACAAGTCTGTGACCTCAGCTCAGTTCCTGTGGACAGATGCCCACCCCTTGAAGTTGACACTCTTGTTGACAGTCTCAGTAACAGAGCCAAAGGCTGGCCGTGACAAAGTAATGCTGTGTTGTTTGTATTTGCTCCAAGTGCTCTTGCAAGGCCACGGTCTGTGCCGGGTTTCTCCAGGTGGGCTGTAGGGAAGTAATAACAGTTGAAGCTGGTTGGTTTGCTTTTTTCACAGGAAAGGGGGTATTGGGAGAACGATGAGCTATTTATTGAATAGGTTTTTTTTAAATATAAGAGATGTACTCTGATTTTCATAGCAACTTGGAGAGTCAACTGCAAGAAATCTTTTTTTATAGATGAGGAAGCTGGGGCTCGGGGAAAATAGTTAATGTACTATTACATTAAAGTGATAAAGCCAATGTGAGGATTCCTGTGTGTATCTGAGGGAACCGGAAGTCCAAGATCTAATGAGGCACAGAGAATGAACATTCAGAGCAGAATATCTCTGGGCTGGAACTCTGGATCTGCTACTGATAATGTGTGACCTTGACCTTGGTTGAATTAAAGAACCAAATATGTTCCACTTCCTCATCGAAAACAGCACACACACACACACAAACACACATGCACACACATATGCACACACATGCAT